AAGATCTTCCGCGAGAGCCGCGCCTACGTTGTGCCGGGCTAATTCATCGTTTAGCCATACCTCTGGGATAGAAAAACAAACAAGTGTCCATTATACATTTGTATTTATTTATAGATTTAGATTTCGATTTTATATTTATTTTCACGTGTGGTGTTTGGATAGGTTGCACCGGCGGCGGTGGAGAGCGTGGTGTTGGAACACCCGGGTGTGGCCGAGTGCGGCGTTGTAGGCGCTCCCGATGAAGCTGTCGGCGAGCTGGCAACAGCGTTCGTGGTCAAGAAGCCTGGCGCCACAGTCACTGAGAAGGAACTGCTCGAATTCACCGCCTCTCGTGTAAATATTCTTTCTAATCCACATTCAAGCCAGCCAACTATATTTATTACATTGGCTTTAAATGAATATTTAAATAAATAGTAAACAGCAGTGTGATTCTGTAAGACTTCATTCTAAACTTCGAATCAAATCCGCCGTGAGTAGTACTACACTAGCGCTACACTTGCGAGTTGAACTAAATTGACAGCTTCATTTTGAAAGATAAAGTATGAAATGACGTTAAAAGTGGCATTCTAAAATTTAATTTCCCCGTCACTTCGACGCACACTCGAACACGATTGAAAATCAAACAAATTTTATAGAATCGACGTGCAGACAATGATGTTTGATGACGATTCTCCGACCAAGTCTGGTGGTTATGCCATTGCTCTGCGTTCCTTCGGCGTGGGCCCTGGAGCCAAGAGCATCAGAAAATTATGTATTGTAGAGTTTATCATTAGTTAACATTTATACGATCTTATTTTTATCGCGGACTGGCTGCAGAATAGATATAATCTTTCTCTTTATTGCACGGGGCCAATTTGGATATTGTTTTTTTGTAAAAACAATCGATGGGCAAGACATTTTGCAGGAAATATTCATATAAAATAACTTCACATTATTGTTTTTTTAGTTATCGTCCGTGTCCCGGCTTTACGGAGGAATAATATTCATCGACGAGATACCAAAGAATCCATCTGGAAAAATCCTGCGCAGAGCATTGAAACAGAGACTTCTCGACAGACAAAAAAGTAAATTGTAAATAGCATTAGTAAATAAAGTTGTAAAAGATATATTTTTTTAATATTTTTATATTGTTATTACATAGTTGTATTTGTTTTATAATTACTAATAAAAACTAATTAATAATTGTTCCTTAAAAAATCCGTTTTAATATGAGTTGATTTTATTTTCATAAAATTAGTCTGATAGCTAAAAGTCGTGCTGGCCCGGAGGTTAAAGAGCAAAGAGCCCGCTTCTCATGCATGAGGGTGCGGGTTCGAAACCTGGCAAGTACCAATGTGACTTTTTCCGAGTCATATGTACTTTCTATGATTATATAGACACATGACATACGGCGAAGGAAAACATCGTGAGGATACCGGGACTTATAATTTCTAATTATAAGTTTGAAATCGCCAATCCGCCTTGAGCAAGCATCTTGATTAATGTTCAAACCTTCTCCGTGTGGGAAGAGGCCTTTGCTCAGCAGTGGGCACTTATAGGCTGATGATGTTGATGGTGATGAGTCTGATAGCTTATTGTCCCAATGACTAACAAAAGTTTTTATTAAGTACTTATATTCGAATTAAATTTTCGCTATGAGTTTGCTGAGGAGTTTGCCTACGAAATCAAAAGTAAAAGGTAACAAAGAAAGACTGCTACGAGTCTACGACGACGTGGCTCACGAAAAGGCTACGAGGATTTGCTACGACATTACGTAAATAAATTAGTGCTACGATACCAAATAACTTTTAACAAACAATGTTAGTCGAGTTTGATTGATTTAGTACCAGTTTCCATGCAAATGTGTGTTACAGTCACTCTATTCTTGGTTGACTGCGATCTAGCGTAGCTGCGTAGACCTTATCGGCACGGTAACACAATACAAGGATAAGTCGCTATTGCCAAATTATCAGTTAGTCTTGACAACTAACCTAATGATTATGCCTCTATAAAGATAACAACTGGTATAATCATAATTTTATCTGATATCTATAATATCTATTATGACTTTAATCCAGTCTAATCAATTACAAAGTATGTAATGACAGTGTCCCTTGGCGATGAAAACCTGTCCATTAAAGCAATGATTGATTGCTCAACATGGACAATAGAGGCGAGGGTACAATATCATACAGTTCCCGAGGTACAGGCCAGCGATCCAATTATGTCTAATGGATGAACTCGCTGTACTCTTGTGGGTGTTTATTCGCGACTTTGGCCAATTATGCTCGCTTTTTGTACGTATTAGCAGTATATCAGGCATTCGTGGGTTTATAACATGTTCAGCTGTTCTATTTGTACGAGTCTAAGTAAAATTTCCGAAAAGTTTAATGGGAATACTAATTTTTAATGAAAATAACGTCTACGTTCTAACGTCGTCGTCTTACTCGCGTGTATTAACTCAGAAAATCTCTACTATTTGGTTTGGCCTTTATTCATATACATATTCATCATAACATTCAATGTGGTAGGTAAAACGAGAAAATATCGCTGTGCGGTCAAACCACAATGATGAAAGATTAATAAAGTGACCAAGTGCAAACCGGACTCGCCCATGAAGGGTTTCGTAGCATCAGGTAGTATAAAAAATAAATATATAGTATAAAAAATCTTGTAACATACATCATTATAAGTCAAATTATAGAAGAACTGGAACCGACTATTTCAGCGAAGTTTCTAGATCACGCCACATTAATATAAACAAATTTCGTTTTTAATTCATCTTAAAGCCGTGAATCAAAAGATAAAATTAGGAATTCACCTGATTCGCCGAAGTTATATTTGAATATTGCCAGCTGACATTTTAAGCCAATTTTAAAGATTATCATCTGCCTGTACCGGCGGTACATCTTTTTGTTGTTGGGTAGGCAGAATGCGCATGATACAAGGAAGACAGACCTATTTGTTTCATTAGAATCGCCAAAAATACTATAACCGGGAGTCGATCAATTAACCCTTAGATGAATATTAATAAAGGTACTAGGTATCCATAACATTATAACATAACAGATCAAACCACGACGCTTTTATCGTCCAGTGATACGTTATTTAATTTGGGATCCCTTCTTTTCGCATAATGTTTTTTATCCTATCATACTTCGGCATAACGATTTTGGCATAAATTTGATTCGCATAACGTTAGTAGGCCTAATGACTATTAGTATAATTTGTCATACCCCTAGAGTATTATTTAAAATCGCGTGGGGCCGCCCGGAGGACCGCAGCGCTGGAGTCGTCACAGAAACCCTGCCTGCTGCATGCTGCTTGCTTGCATGTTGATTGTTTGCTTGCTGCATGCTTGCTTACTGCATGCTTGCTTGCATGTCTAATATTCTAGGTGTTAATAATTATTTCACTGTTAAACCTATAAAAATATGTTTTATTATTTTTATGCTTCAAGATAGTATGCTTGAAAAAGTTATGCTTTAGAAATTTATGCTTAATAAGTTTATAGTTTAAAATAGTATGCCTAATCACTATTATGGTTACAGACAAAATGCTTAAAGAATATGCATAAGCTGTTATACTTTATATATTATGCGAAAATATAATTATACCAAACAACATTATGCTTAATGAACTAATAAAAAAATAAAAAATACTTTTTGTCTATTTATTTCACTTATTGAAACAACATGTACAAGCTTGGGCGTCATGCTACTAGCGTTCCTGCTTGCCAACTTTTAGTTGGTGAAAGGTGAACATGGTCGGTGCAACAATGATGTAAAAAAGAAGGAAACAAATTTACCACTGTGTTAGATAAAAATAAAATTGTGTATAACAAAATAAGTAAATATCTGTTCATATTATAATACTATCTATCCATAAATACTCATCAATAATACTTACATACAATAATATACACCAGTGCCACCAAACATACTATTCAAATATGCAAAGATAGTTATAAAGAAGAAGATTCTACCAACTTTCCCACCCAGATCCAAATTCAAATTCCAGCTTTGAATGCCTGCTTACTACTGTACATCCAGTATTCCAAAGATATTTTTTTAATTGTTTAAAATGTATGAAACATTATATTACATAGACGGACTTAATGCCATAGACATTCTTACCAGTCAACCTTAGGGTGATGCAGAGATAGCAGGGTATGTGCAACAAGAAGAAAACTTGGAGTCGATAGATTAAGGATAGCAAAAGAAATTTATTATTAAAAATGAACATTTTTCTGTAAATTTTTGTTATCACAATGGCTGTGAGCAGCGGCGGCCGAGTGGCGCGGACTTCCGAGTCTTAGCTCATTCGAGCACGTAGGTGCGCACTTTGTGTGATTCGTTTTATCGCTGCTCCACAAACAATTAAATAATATTATATAGACCCAAGTCCGTAACGTACGTCATAAGATGTTAATTAAATATTACATGCTTTTACTTTACTGGTGTACCTACTAGACACTAATTATGGAAACTCGTGCGTTGACATATGTAGGTAGGCCTTACACTGTGTCTAAATCTGTTTGATCTTAAGTTCTTTTTTCTTTCGGAATATGTTCATAGTGACAATGGCATAATATCGAAAAAAAAATACGCATCAAATTGAGAACCTCTTCCTTTTTTGAAGTCGGTTAAAAATGTTGCAAAATAATCAAACGATCAGAAGCAATTTTAACTATTCTACGAAAATTACCTGCAACTGTCCCACTGATACGGGAAAATCCTTTTCTCGTACAAAGATATAATTGGCAATTACGAAACATCAGTAAGAGTTTTAATTAATAAAGCCAATTTCTATACTTATACATTACATCTATAATAATCAATCAATGAAGCAGAAAAAAATTAACAAATCGTGTATTTAAATTGTAGTCATCAAAAGAAAGTGTTAACTTCCGCATTATGTTACATGCGAGAACATCTTTAATCTCTATAGTAAAATAGAAATAAAATTAGTAAGTACCTACCTAGGTAGAGTCCGCTTGTGGTTGGTGGCATTCGTAAATCTGTGACGCGAGTAGTTGATCGGGTCGACGAATAGCGCGGGAGTCAGCGCGGCACACCGCGGACGCCGCAGGACAGCGCTCGGCCGCACTCTCTCCACCCGGCGCGGATGCTACACGCGCCACTCGCTTACTCCAATATTTATTTCATATTGGAATACGTGTCTTCAGTAAGAATATGAGTTAGCCTCGACAACATGTCTGTCTGTGGTCAAAATGGTCAGCCTGAGGAAGACAGTGCTTCGGAGGAGGTAGTCGCAAACGCGACGCGAGACAGTTACAAGCAGAAGCCAGCCAGCAAGCTAGTGCGCGTGCTGACCGTGCTGGCGTACCTGCTGTCGGTGTCTCTGGCTGCTATCCTACTGTCGGTGTACTACGTGGTGGTGTGGCGGGCGCCGGAGTCTGCCGCCGAGGTGGGCGAGGTGAGCGCGCGACGCACCGGCCCCAACACCACCTTCCATCACCACCACCATCACTACCAGTCACTGCATCACGAAGCACAAACTGCGTATACTGACGGTGAGTCAATTAGTTCTTGACTTATTGTTAAGAAGTTAATATTAAATATCTACATATGATAATTGAAGAACTAATAATTTAGTTGAATTATCTGCCCTTGACTAATTAATTAACACTGCTAATACTTAGGTTAATAATATTAGGTAGGTACGTCGCTTACTTTGGAATATCCCATATATATTTATAACATTAAATACAACTTTCTCACAAGTATTAAGCAGACAGCTCACACAGTCCCCTTTTAAATTAACTTAAAGTGAAATGTTTTTTCATTAAAACGGCGTGCCTAGCTGGAATTCTCCAAGGATGAAGCGAAACGGGGAAATAGAGCGTGGTTTCAATTAATTACTTAGTTACCTAATTGGGCGAATTCACCACAATTACTTAAGTGTAGGGATCAAAGTGTTGCACTGTGGTATGTTGACATGCTGGGAATAAATTAATATCTTGGATAGTAAATGCTTCGTAGGTTTATACAAGTGGAACATTATCATCAAACAGACCTTGTACAGAATCTGGTATGTTCGTTTAAGCCATGTGTTCCCAACTAAAAATAAGCCCTATCCCGACCCGTGGTTGCCAATGAGTAAATAAAATAATATATCTGGTTTTATCCGTTACTCATCCAGTAGTAATCTGTGAGAGTCATTTTATTTCGAACGGGAGAACGTTTTCAATGTAGATATTATTTTGTGTGTTCATTACTAAAGTTCCCCTGCTACTGGCACAACCTTTAAAGAAGTTAGTGGCTCAAGATCTGCTGACGCTATCATGGTTGTAGGGATATCAAATGCGATTTTGTGAAATAGAAAGTTTGATGAAATGAAGGTAACGAACGAAGCGTAATATTATAACACATGATCATCGACCATGAACAAAAGAAATAAATAAACATGGTGAGACAAGTCCCTTTATAAAAAACCCTCGAGAAAATATATGTCAAATGTAGAACGTTCCAACAACTCCAACCAGTTTCGTAAAAAATACAAAAAGTGGGTTGCGCGATAAATCTTATTATAAACAAACAATTTAATGTTTGTTATTAGTAAATCAAGGAAGAGCAATGTAAATCATTTCTCGATTTTACGATCACTGTCCAATTTCACTTTGGTTTAAATCTTTTTAAATTAATGACTCGGTATGTTGATATAAGTCGTGTTGCTTATTTAAAACACCGAGTCGAAGCATCGCAAAACATCCGTATACTATTAGGTTTTACATGAAGGGTTTCCTGTAAGCCAATTAGCTTAACCCAATTGTGTCCAAAACTGAACATCAATTACCTCATTCCGTTGACTTTTATATTGGCTTTACGAATATTTACGTGGTCATTTTAGTGGCGACAATACTAAACTATTATTTTCAATAGAAAATTATTGTCTTCGAAATATAATTATGGTGACATTATGAGTATCTCGGTGTGTCAACTTCAATTCTTTACACTTTTCTAATATGTCACTATAGTAATATGTCCTTAATTTTGTCTTAGAATTTAGTAGGTACCTACGTGACAAATATTTTGCTTACACTTGAAACATATTACATAACAGAGCCTTAGACCGACGTAGACCTTACTTCTACTAAGCTAAACTCTTATTAAGAAAGGCCTAGTAAAAACACAGAATATCATTAAACACGTTTCCTTTAGGAATTAATTCAATTTACATAAATGCTTAAATAACCTCGAATGTAACATTGATCGCACATAGTTAAGCGATATCTCCGTTCCCCGAATCCTCACAAATACCCTGATCCTTTTATCCCCTCCGTCGGCTCGATTACAAGATCACGATCAGTTCGGAGAAATACGGGTTACTAGTATTGCGTCAGAGCATTCGTAATTTATAGGGCAGTTACTTACACTGAAAAACTAAGAAACTCCGAATTATCGAACCATTTTAGAAAACCCGACGTGTCACAACCACAGCGTTGTGTGAGTGCGGTTACTGGAGGCTTAATGCTTAAAGCCCCAATCCCTAAATCCCAAAAACCCTAAACCCAAAAAAGGTCGGCAACGCACTCGTAACTCCTGCGTTTTTACGGGTGTGCATGGGTAGCTTACCATCAGCAATCAGTTTGCAGTCTTATCACATAAAAAAATATCGCTTACATCAAAGAAAAAATGAATCATAGGCACTTTATATGTAAATTACATTCTACGTAGAAAAAAGCCTGTATACCATTACAAAAACACCACCATTTTTTTATGGTACATAAGTCTTCTCTGTCGAAGAAAATAAATTTTTAAGTTTACTTTTTGAAGAAAATAAATTTTTAAGTTTACTTTTTTAATAAAAGTAAATTAGCTTTTTCAGAGCTGATTTTCATAGAAAAGCAGTCAATTTCATCACTTAGAAATTGCCAATACCGTTCATTGTAGTAGTTGTAGACTGCCCAGGGAGCGCTAAATGAAATTACGTACCGTCGAGCTCCCGAGAGACTTAGTTACACACAGACACACGTACGCCTCGTAGAAGGCGACCCTTCGGGTAGAACTTAAGAATATTAAAATAAAAAATTGACGATTTTAATCTCCGAAAATTAAGCTTTCCGTTAGTTAAATAAAATTTGAAATAAAATATCTTCACTATTTTGTAATAGGTTATTGGTATAGATATATTAAAATAACTTTGTTTCCTATAATCAATTCAAAAATAACATTTATCTCAAACGCAAAACGTTTCAATCAAACGTCTTACGAAATGTGATAGTAATGGATTAGAGTGGCATCTCTCAATGCTCCACATCTGTTTCTCAAGAATCAAATACATTGAACACATCCGCGAGTGTTAATAGACGTTTACATTAAAAATAACATTGGAGGTTAAAAATTACGTAGTCGTTTGTTACAGTGCTACGCCGTAGCAAGTCAGGCAGCTACAGGGTTCAGCTACAAAACATGAATCTACATTGTAGGTACATTCCTATAATATAGTGCAGAAAGAAACCTATGTTATAGAAGTAACTTATATACTCGACTATCACATTTATTGTATTTAGATATTTTTATTGGCAATGTTTGAGGGTACAGAATAGAATAAACGGTAAATTAACGATGGTCTACCTTCAAAATATCCCTTATGAGTACAAAGGTTTTTATTGCATTGAAACTGAAACACATGTTATAGCTACCGTAGGCATCCTAAATACCCCAACTACATTTGCTACGCCGTAGCAAAACCTGCGTCGTAGCCGTAGGGTCTATCGTAGACTTGTAGCGACTGACTTTTCTTAACACGGGTGGGTTTATCTGTTTGGACAGAGAAATAAAAATCTCATATTCAAGTATTACAACTAGTACTATAAGTTATAAATAGTTTTAAGTACAATGGACTTACAAGATTACGCTGTGCTACGCCAGCTACGGCGTAGCCAGGTCCGTTGACTGTATTAAGCGAAACGTTTTTCAAAGTAAAGGTATATTCCTATTTGAAATACACAGAACTTCTGTTGCAACAGTATGTACTTAATATCGTTTGTATTTTTAGGCCTTAACAGATAATATGTAGGTGAACTTATTAAATGGTCTTGTCGAATTAAAACCAAGTTAAATCGTTGGTCCAAATATTGCAAATCCAGCTGCAAGTAGACTAAGGGTTCTCAGGTTCGACTCATCGCCGGTAAAATCAACTCTGAATAAATTCATTGTTTGACTCATGTATCATGATAGCATGGATGTTAAGGCCTGGTTTGGCCTGGCAAGTACCAATATGACTTTCCAAGCTATACTATATATGTATAAGCATATATCTGTATGTACATTCTAAGAGTATTAAATGACACAGACAACGCTTATTTTTATTTATTATATACTTTATTGTACACCACACAGTTATAAAGAATAGCTTACAAACATTGAGTGTACAATGGGCGGTCTTATCGCACAAGGCGATCTCTTACAGACAACCTTTGGATGAAGCTATAATAGGAGTCTGAAATATGGCTATATAAAGAATGCGCTATGCCTATATAAAGAATGAAATTATCTCAATAAATCTAAAATCGCCAATCCACCTTGAGGCAAGCGTGATGATTCATATGCTTATAGTTTCACCGTGAGAAGAAGCCTTTGCTCAGCAGTGGTCTCTTATAGCCTAAAGCTGAAGATGAAAAGTCGGTATTACATTGTAAATGTGCACTTCTGCCTCAATGTTGGAGAATCGTAGCGCAAAATGCAAATAGTATTACTCCTTATAATTTGTAATAGCAGGTATGTGTTGTTAAAAAACAGTTTCTAGTTGTTAGCATATAAATAACAATAATAAGGCACTCCCCATTAAATTGTGCAAAACGTTTGCTAAAGAGCCAAAACAAATACAAATGGATATTTAATGGAATTGCTGTTAATGTAGTTCCATTACTGAATTAATGTGTAATTCGAGTACCTACATGCTTGTATGGGCACTCATTATATTAATTCGCTAATAGACCATAGTTGGATCTACCGCGGTTAATAGGAGCAGATGTTTAAATATATTAATACAGCTGACAATGTTTAGATGCAAGCAGTAACTTAACCGTTACAGATGCCACACTAGTAGCAGCAGACTAGTATAAAATTGAGGTAAATTATTCTGCATGTTTCGAATAAAATTGAATATGCATTAACGTTATAACAAATGCGTGTTACTGCTTTATTTGTCCACGCTATAGTTCAAGGCGGCGTCTTCCTTCATTGTCGATTACTCTTCATCTATATCAGATATTTGTGCCACACGTAGATTTTTTAAATAAAATTATCTATTTAATTATATACAGGGCGCCACCCACAAAAGGTTCCTTGGCAGACTTCAGTGAACTATTATGTATATCGTCTGTAACTCATTTGTTATACCTGTGTTATTTATTTATACAGACCTTATTCCGCAAATTCATTCACTTTTCATATTTAGGTACCTAGCTCAAGATTGTACTTTGAAGGAGGAAGGGAAGCAGGATTAAATATTATAGAATATTATTAAGTAAGAATTAGTAATGAGTGTTCTGGCGACGACAAATAG